CTGGCGGGGGGGGGGGTGAAATAATGCCCCCCAGCTCTGAATGTGAACTCCAAGGGGGCAGGAATCTTTGTTTTGCAAACCGCTATCTTCCCAGCACCGAGAATGCCAGAATGCCGGGAGGCGCTCCGTAAATAAATGACGTGGAATGATGGAATCCTGTTGTACGAACCCCCCAGTACCCAGGCAGTCTGCTCGTTACATCAAGCCACCCAGTACCAAGTCCTGCCTATGGCGCCTTCTAACCTCGTCCAACCATCCACTTTCCCCCATCCCCACTGCCACCGGTCTACTCGGTTCTTTCCTTCTTCGTCCTCCTTTGCACCTAGTTACCTCCTACGCATCCTTCACGGCTCAGACTCAGTGTCCCCTCCTCCAGGAAGACTTCTCTGACCATCCTCTGGGAAAGGGGGACAGAATGGCCAAGGAGACAAAGTCCTGATGTGTGTTCTTGGGACCCTCAGTCCCAGCCTCCTCCCCGGCCTCCCGTCTCTCTCTTCCGGTCCGTCCCCCCCCCCCCCCCGTGGCCCCCGGAGGGATCATCCTAAACCCAGAGCTGCCCCTGCTCACAGCCCTCCCAGGGCTCCCCCAAGATGAGTCCTGGCCCCTGGACTCAGCCCCGCCGGGCAAGACCCTGACACCATTCCCCCCACATCTGCTGCCCCGTCACACACCAGACACCCCCTATAGCACCCTGGCCTATGGGCTGCTCCTGGGTTGTGACACCGGACAGGTGCTGCCTGAGCAGTTGGGGGAAGAGAGGGTCTCAGAAACCATGGGCCCCCAGTCATCATCCCTGAACTGGCTTGCTAATCCCCCCTTCCTCCTGGGCTCCCCATCCCGGGACCATCCTGCTGTCTCCCCAAAGCCACCACCAGCCTGTCAATCCCCAGCCCTGCCCCTCCTGTCCCCTGGCTCCCTGTGATATTTGCAGAGCACTGGGGACAGTGCCTGTGCACAGCAAGCGCTGCGTGTTGAAGTCACATACATACATCCATAAGTGTATAAACAGAGAGAGCCCTTCGAGTTTTCATTTACTGGTCACCTCTTCCAGGAAGGCTTCCAGGAGCACCCCATAAGCTCTCGGATGGAGCTGCCCACTCCTCTTTTATCCCCCTCCCTCCCCCCTTCAACTTCTTCTCTCTCACAACTGCCCTCATTTCCCTTAAAAATAACATTTTGGGGGGGGGTCTTTGTCTCCTCCATTAGGTACTCAGCTGCTCAAGCGCTGAGCAAAGTGCCCAGCAAAGAGCGTGCACTCAGTTGGTGCTCAATAAGTGTTTGTTACTTGGAATTGGGTTCTGTTAACGAAGAGAGATTCCAGGATTGGGCCCAAGCCACTCGCAAACTCTGGTGTTCTAGAGTTCTCTGTGATGATGGGTGTTTGACGCTGCTCTGCTTCTGGGTCTCTGCTTCTACATAGGCAGTGAGTAAACTACCGAGAACAGTAAACTCCCAATAAATGTTTAAATAACTACGGTCAGAATCGCTGTCAGAAGGTGCTCACGTCGTCTTTTGAGCGACGTGCCTCTATTAGCTCATTTAATCCTCACAAAACCTAGGAAATCGATGCCACGACTTCCTCCACTTTCCAAGGCAGAGGACTGAGACCCAGAAGGGTGACGTCACTTGCTCGGTGTCGCTGGCTAACTGCAGCAGGCCTGGGGGGTCGGAGGCTAGGCTGCTGGCTTGAGGCTGTGCTCTTTGACTTCTAGAATAGCTGTCGTTTACCGGGCCGCCCATGTTCCAGGTACCCGGTAAGTGCCTTCCCCCATCTTGGTCTCACGGTAACCTCACAACAGCCCTGTAATACGGAGCCTGTCTTTAAGTGCCCCGTCCTTGCCCATGGCTCTCCAGCCAAGGGTCTCAAACTTATGCACCCACAGGGACCAGGCGGGCGAAACACACAAGCGGCAGGGGCCACGTATGAGGCAATGGAGAGCGGTGGGGTCTGGGGCAAACCTGAACGCCATCACCCAGTCTAACTGGAGTGGCCATCTGCCTCGCAGGAAGGTGGGCTCAGCCTCTTCCTGTGTTTCCAGAAAAGCCGGAAACCAAACATTTTATGGGGAATGCTCTGATTTAGAAGTGGGGTTGATTGAAACACCCTTGGCCACCCGGGTGAGTCTCCCAGGTCTCTTTTGGGTGTTTCGCTTGCCCCTTGTGACATTATGTTTATAGGAAACTGTGAGCTTGTTCATATAATGTGTCAGTCTCCCTGTCTTGCCTGAAAGTTCCACGAGGGGAGGGGATGTGTCTGTCCCGCTCAACCCCTGCTCTCCCCAGTGAGGTATCGCTAGCCCCTGTGTGGGACCTGGCCCCGTATTTACGGAAAGCGTGGATGAATCTTTTTCTCTTTGTCCTGTGGCTTTCTCTGCAGCTCAGTCTGGCTCTGGTCTCTTTCTGTGTGTCCCAAACCTGGCTCTCACCCAGTTTTCTGACTTTGGCTTGGGTCATGATCTCACGGTTTGTGAGTTTGAGCCCCGCGTGGGGCTCTGCACTGACAGCTCGGAGCCTGGGGCCTGCTTTGGATTCTGTGTCTCCCTCTCTCTCTGCCCCTCCCCTGCTTGCACACACACACTCTCTCTACCCCTCAAAAAT